CTGGCGATGTGATAAACATAAGAGTTGTAGCCCTTTGAGTTAGTTTTCCGATGGTCTAAGAATAATCCAAATATGAGGTCTACTGCTCAAGTTATTGCTAAAATACTGAAACTTATTCTAGATCAGAGCTCTCAGATCACATGGCTATATCGCAAATCGCATGCAACAGAGTTCTCAGATCGCGTGGTTAAATCATAGATCACATGCATCAGAGCTCTTAGATCGCGTGGCTAGATCATAGATCACAAGCATCAGAGCTCTCAGATCGCTGGGTCACATTATAGATCGCACACATTAGAGCTCTCAGATCGCGTGATCAGATCACAGATCACACGCATCAGAGCTCTTAGATCGTGCTTCCGAGCACTTAGATCAGGCATTCAAGATCGTTGAGATCATGCGTTCAGATCATTTAGATCGTGTTTCCGAGAACCCAGATTGGGCTTCTGAGTGCTTAGATTGCTGATCTCGAGTTTTCAGATCAAGCTTCGCGCTTTCTGATCGAACACCTTGTTTTCTCAGATCAAGCTTCACACTTTATGATCAAACTCTTTGTGCTATATGCTTTCTGATCGAATTCCTTGTGTTCTCAGATCAAGCTTCGTGTTTTCTGATCAAACTCCTTGTGCTCTTAGATCATAAAGAGCTTTCAAGCTCTCAGATCGTAAAGAGCTCTCAAGTTCTCAAATCAAAGCTCCTTGCGCTTCATATCGGGTTCCTTATGTTGTCTGATCAAGCTCATAAGCTCGCTTATTTGATTGAGATCATACGTTGTGGATAATTCAGATCGCACGCCTCAAGCTCTCAAGTCGAGGCCCTATCAGATTGTGATCAGCTCCTAGCTCTCAAATCGTGATCAACTCTTAGCTCTGAGATTGTGAACAGCCTTAGGTTGTGTTGTCAGCTCTCAGATTGCGACCAGTCGCCAGCGTTAGAAAAAAACGCGTAAAAAACTCAAAACAACATTGAAACATGTTGAAACGGTGGGTTTTGGCCTTGAAAATGGTCTCAAATAGGTTCCCCTACTGCCATGACATAGAGCTCGGAATAAGCTTTTTGTGGATATCTTACGGGCTACAAAACTTCTCCCAGATCAAAAGTTATAGTTGTTTTAAGTTGGCTTGTCCGTTTAGGGTTTCTAAGCCATGCATTTGGGCTTCTGATGTCAGCTATCTACAGGAATTCATCTACTGGACATTTTATGTCAGTTCCTAGATTGCGCTCAGCTTTGGATTGCTCCAAGCTCTCAGATCACAGTCCTAGCTTTCAACACCCAATTATGCCTAGCATAGTTCGAGCTCTTCAGTTCGAGATTATAGCCTATAGTGCAACAGTCATTTAGATCTAAGACATGAGTTTTTGAAGTGCAATTACGCACTCTAAAAACTAGGGGGGTTTTGTTGTGCCAAAAATACACATTAGTGTCAACACCACCAATCAAAGTTCAACAAGCACATAAAGATAAGGTGATATTAGCTGTCAAAAACCCAAACTGTCTCTAAGATATATTTTATATCAATCCTATCCTATTTTAAGATAAGGATTAAGAAGTAGTCCCCACATGTCAAGACAACTTGCAAAAATACTCATTACATTGACCTCAAAGGTATAAATGGCTACCTTTCTTCGTGAAAAAGGGGCTAGCTAGGTATATGAGAGGTAGACAAACATTTGAACCTTATTATTTTCTCTCTATAAACAAATCATTTCTCCATTTTTGTACGTTTTATAAGCAATATCAGAAAAATAGCTAAAGAATAATAAAATAATAGTGGATGTAGGATTCGCTTTAAGCATCCGAACCATTATAAAAATGTCTCTTGTCAATCTATTATTTATGTTTCTACAAACATATATAATCTCTACACCATAATCAACTCTCATAATCATTCACGTGTATTTTCTAAGAACAACTTAGCACTTTGCACGTGTGAGTGGTTGGTGTCATAATCACGCATCAATACTTTAGACAACTGGGATTTGAAAATTAAGCATGCAAAACTTTTATTTAATTCATCAAAATACTAATTAAGGTGGCATTTTTTTTTTTTTTTATCTGAAAGCTAAATAAGTCCTAAATTGGAAAAAAAAAATCTGAATTAATATGAAAAGTGTAAATATGAAAAATATTTTTGTTTTTGTCACTTTTAATGTATGATTACAAGTGTTGAGTTGTTAATTTTTATAAGAGTAAACGACATGTTCCCACATGAGGTTTAACGAAATGGCGAGTTGATATCCCTGGTTTTATTTTTTCCAAATTCTTACTCTTAAAATAACACTATTTGCTAAAATGGTCATACACACTATAGCGAGATGCACGTTAGCACATTAAAGTGCGTTGCCGTTTTCTTTTGTAAGAGACAAGCTCATGTTAGCAGCATCCAAGCCGGCAATTTTTGGCTTTTTCTGGCCGATTCTGAAATCCAAAATCACTTCCGAGATCACCGTTGGACTCTCCATAACCTCCTCTATAAAACTTATACCTTCATTTTTCGACCTCACGCAACATTTTCGAACCACCTCCATTCTTGCCACCTTGTGAGATTAAGTTACTTCTCAAGCTTTTTCCGATCGATTTGAGTACAACTGACCTCTCCAGACTTCACCACCAACTTCTCCACCATCAGCTGATTGTTGCGACGTGTTTTTTGGCCATTGGTGACTCCCAAATCGTCGAAAATCAAAGCCTAAATTAATGCCCATAACCTTCTTGATTAAAGTCCTCACGCAACTAGTGCCCAGAAGCAACCTCATCACCACGAAATTAATGGTGTTACTTTAAGGATAGGAATCTGGAGTAAATGAAACCAAGGGTATATACGTGCCATTTTGCTAAACCTTGGGTGGGAACATGTCATTTACTCTTTTTGTAAATGTTAAACATCTTAAAATTAGTATTTGGACATATATGTCATTGTTAAATGTCATATTATATTTTACAATTTACATGTTTAAAAAAAAAAATAAACAATTTAATTGTGAGAATCAAAACAAAACAAATGTATGAGTTAAAGATAATTATATTATTTCATTAAAAATCTTTAAAGTAATAAAATTAAGAAATTAGGTATATTAATAAAAAAAAAAATTAAGAAACAAAACTACATTATATTTATTTTAGTAATTTACTCTATTTTATTAACATTATTGTTCATTTGCAATTTTTTCTAGTAATGATAGAAAATATGATGAGTTGATATAATGTTTGATGAGTTAATATATATTTTTTGGAAATTGTAACAAATTGAAGAATCCAAAAGAAAAGATAATTAGATTTGGAATTCAATGAATTTAATAAGGCTATTATTGATGATAAAAAAAAAAACAATAATTAAATAATTTTAGATGTCTTGATATCAAGATAAAAGCCAAAAAAAATTTGCTTAATAATTTTTATCTTACAAACTAACATAATTTTTAAAAAAATTAAAAAAATATAAATATATGAATCCCCCAAATTTAATTACAGTAAGACTTAATAATACCGAAATAATAAAAACCGGTTAACATACTTTCTCACATAAACTTGATACGGTATGTTGATTATTGGTTTTTGATTAATTTTTTTTTGTCTACTAACATCAGCAGAGTATCACGTCGGATTGATGAGAGAAAGTTTATGAAATCCATTTATTAACATAATATTGCCCATCATAAAATACTTTTAAAAGTACAACACTATTGCACGTATATATTCAGTCTGATATGTAAAGTACAAAATCTACTTCCCTTTTTCATTTTATAAGAAAGGTTTTTTTGGAAAACAATTAAATGAACATCAAACACGAGCAAATGACCCTAAGATTTACATGGAAAACACCAAAACATTGGAATTTGAGTTTTTAAAGTAATATGCATGCATTTAATTAATTGACGAGACTTCTAAAACGGGAAGTATTGAAGAAACAAACAAGTAAGCAGATGTTATATAAAGCTGTGCCTAGTAATAGGTTAAACTTAAACGTGCAGATAAAGGATAACTTCATACAATTCTACATGCAATACATTAATGTAGATCTTAATGAGAGAAAATCATTAAAACAACGGCAGCAGTAGACAATTGGATTATGAGAAACAGAACGGATTAATCCAGTAATCAACGAAGGGAAGAAAGAGAAATTAGAGGTGAAGAAAGTTTTAAATCTCTATATACAAACACCGTATAAACTAATAAATATTGAATACGTATAAACTGATATGGCATAGTGAGTTTGGCTCAATGATCATACATTTATAAACAAAATAAAATATAATAATACAATAATAAATTATATACGTATGAAATGGTATGGTATATATAGATGTATATATGAAATGGTCAAATAAATGTACGTAAATACATGTGCTTAATTAAGTATTCATATCCATTATAAAAAATTCAGCATAAGGCTTGTTTTTTTTTAAGGTTTTACAACAAAGAGCAATAGATCTTAAATAAGAGCACAACAACATGCAAAAGAAAACCAGGTCTGGTAGAGTAATATAGGAGAAAAACACACCACAACCATAAAATCATAGAACTGATCAAACCTATATTTAATCTTTGATTCAATTCGTTTGCAGCTTCATGCAAGGTGATGGTGACGAAGATGGTGATCCAACGCTCTTTCTTCCTCACTTAAACTAGTCATCGTTGATGCAACTTCACCTTCCCAAATGTTACCAAGACCACTATTCACGAGGTGATGAACTGGGTTTGGCTGCGGCTGCTGTCGGCTCACAAACATCGTGTCATTGATTAGAGAATCAAGAAATGAAGAGAATGTATCTTCGTTATAGGTTTCGACATAATTTTCCTGGTTGATGTGTGCAGAGTGGCTAGTTGGTAAACCCATCATGAAACCATCCATCTCCATTTCGTTATCCTCCACTTGATGTTTTTGATTATGATGATGAAGATTGGTAATGAAGTTTTCATTGCTTTCAGTAGCTGTTGCTTCTGTGTCTAAAGATTCGGGATTGAGATTGGGATGAGTATTAGGGTTAGGTTTTGAAGTTTAAGCTAGATGATCATTATTTCCGATAACATCTGAGGAAGTAGGTAATGGGTCTAACGGCTTGTGGGTTCTTGGATCAATTCCTTGATTAATCAGCTTTTTGCTAAGATGGGTATTCCAATAATTCTTGATCTCATTGTCAGTGCGTCCCGGGATTCTTCCCGCTATCAAAGACCACCTGAGAGTAAGAACATGAAGGTTGACATTAACAAATCATTCATCGATAAAAAAAATGTAAAACAAATGAACTCTTGACGCTGGATACAAGGAAAGTCAGTAAACTGTGAACATCTGATAGTAATCACGGTTTATGACCGATAAGGAGTCCCTTTTTTTCTTGTAATGCGCGTGATCATCCTCTGAATATTGATGGAGAATTGAAAGATTAATTTGGGGAAGAAATGATTAAACACCAAATTACCGGAAGAAAGAGATGAAGCACAAAAGCTCCTAGTTCAAATTCATCTTGCAGCAATAGAAGATCAATTGGAAGAGATTCATATTGGGTTAAGAAGAACCGGAGATTGACGGAGCTCTTATTGGAAAATAACCTGATTGCATAGAAAATGAGAGGACCGGAAGAAACAGAACAAAGAGTACCTGTTCCCGAGCAGGCGATGGAGGCGAAGGATGAGATCTTCTTCGCCAGGAGCTATGCGACCTCTTTTAACACAGGGTCTGAGATAATTCATCCACCGGAGACGGCAACTCTTGCCGCAACGAAGCAGCCCGGCACGCTTCGGGAGCGTACGCCAGCGGCCTTCACCTTCTCTCTTGACATAATTGGATAAGATCTCGTCTTCCTCCGGAGTCCACGGGCCTTTCTTGATGCCCACCTTGCTACAACACGGGGTTCTAGTACCAGAAGAAGGGTTTCTCATATTAACTGCTAATGAAAATTTTAAGCGTTGCTTTCTGTCAAGGGCTGGTTTGTGTGGGAGGTAAAGCTCGATGGAGGAATGAATTAATGAAGAAAGTAAAGATTAGGGTTCAAGGTCGGGGATGGAGAGAGTGTTTTTGCAGATGTGAAGAGGCAAAGATTAAGTAAAGTAGTAACTAGTAAACGAGCATGATGCAGACACATCCAACCTTAGACCCTACACACAGTAGAAGACTGCTCAAAGATTACATTCTTTGGCATCATTTTGATATATTTGAGATATTTAAGTAGTATTATTTTTTCATTTATTTTTTACATTTTATGAGAGCAAAAATAAAGATTATTTTATAGTAATATAAATCACATGTGGGTAGCAGAAAAGTAGCATTATAGGTCAATAGGAAAAAGGTCATTGTACATTTATAAAACCTTTCTCACTCCCACACCTGATTTCTTGTCGATTACCAACCATCGTAAAGCAAAGATTTCTTTTTCTTAACTGATTTATGTTTATTTTGGCAAGAAATATATTCTATCAGTTACCACTATTCGATCTATAGATCTCTACTTTATAAAAACTCTTTTATTCTAGTTCTTAATAAGTCACTGAATATTAGATAAAAAAATGAAATATATTTTAAATATTAATATAATATAAATATTGGGTAAGAAAATAGTATTTTGAAACTTTTTTAATGTTATTAAGGCAAACCTCAGGTGGGAAAAAGCTGCTGACTGTTTAATAGTGCTGTATTTTGATTGCACGGGCGGCTGGCTGGTACTCTTTGACCTGTCCGACGGTCCCCATATTAGTGGTCTTTCCGTTTCCAAAAATTTAGAAGAAATTTAGAGAAAATAAAAAATAAAAAGAAATTAATGTGAAATTGCCACATCAGATAATAATTTACTTGGTTGGCAATGCTTGCCCTTTTGCTTAAGCATTAGGTTTTGAATAAGAATTTTACGTCTTTTATTTTATGGATAATGTGAATTTGACCTTATCCATATAATGGGTCCCATTTTACCGGCCTACCAAATTATCTCTTCTGTTTAGGACTAATGTTTTCTTTTTCTTTTTCTTTTTTACATTAAGTAAATATATGATTTAATTGATTGTTAATTGAAAAATATAATAATAACAAAAAAAATATCAGATAATATGAAAATTAAAATTTATATGTATGATTCTAATAAACAGACCCTTGCTATCTCTTGCGGGTTTCAAAACCCTGCGATCTGGGTTCTTTCCTCTTCTTGGATGAACCTTCACCGCTTCACGCCGCCAATCTGGGCATTCGCCAAAAAGCCTGGAATAGCTACCTCGTAGGCCATTGTGGCCTGGCAACTCATTGGCTACCCAAATCCGCAAATAGTTGCCATCTTTCAAAGGGCCAAGCCGTGAATTCCACCATGAAAGGCAAAAATCTTAAATCTCATTTATAGTCATCTTAATTTATCTTAATTATCAAAATATCAAGGTTTTGTTTAAAGACATATTTAGTCATAAAATCACATTACTCAATCTAATTACCCTTGATAAAAAGAGTAAATGACACATTCCCATCGGAGGTTTAGCGAATCTTAATTTGATACCCCTGGTTGTATTTATTTTAGATTTTTACCCTTAAATTAACACCGGTAGTGACTATTGGAGGTGATCGAAAATCGTGAGTGAGGTCGACAAGTGAAGGTATGAGTTTTGTAGAGGCGGTTGTGTGGAGTCCAACGGGGTCTCGAAAATGATTTTGCACTTCGGAATCGGTTGAAAAAACCAAAAAATCGTCGACTTGGACATTGCTAACGTGAGCCCTTTTTTGCTAAAATAAGCTAGTCTTCTGCCAAAGAAACCGTGGACACAATTTAGCTTGTTAACGTGTGACACGCTATAGGAAAAGATTGAGAATATATTAAAATAAAGGTTTTAATTAAACATTTACACTATTAAACCGTATAATTATACTAGACCGGATAGTCAAAGGGTGAATATTAAAATATATCATTTTTTGATTTATTAAGGGTATAATAGGTAATTCATTGAATTTTGTAGTTAGACTTATCATTTAAATAAAACCTGTACATTTTAGGAAAATATGGTTATTGAGTTAGTATGTACAAACCGGTTTTCTAAATTTTATGTGTTATTTAAGGACTAAAATGCCCCTTTACCAATTAAGTTTACATATAAATATCAATATTTTACTTAATAGATTATATAATATCAATTTGATCCATATAAAATATTAAAAAAATACATTGCTCGAGTTTGCTCATATGTTTTCCGAAAAAATGATTTTTCAACCCAATTTCAATTGATATATCTTTTTTTTTTCTATATTTATACACTAAAAATATTTTCCACATTTCATATATCTTTTAACATTATATTATTTTTTTTTTTAAATAATCAACCAAAAAACCATACTGTTCTACATTTTAATATTAAATCAAAAGTTTACATATATATATATAAAGAAACGACGGTATTTATGTGATTAAGTGTGAAAGATAGGGTAGAATAGAAGTATCCAAAAATCATAGGAGAAGTATTATATGGTGATTGTTTTTTGTCCGAAACTGAGTAAATCTGTCTGAATGCCAAAAATTCATATACCCATTCTCAAAAAATCCAAGTGCCTAGATGCAAAATCCAAATACCCAATAAAATTTCCTACCAAAACTGCAAAGTTTCAAGAAAAATCCAAGCCAAAACTGCAAGTGTCAAAAGAAGATCAAAATACCCAAGCAAAAAATCAAGTCAAAACTGCAATCTTCAAGCAAAAACCCAAACGATCACGGACTTCGTCGAGGCTGTCGTGGTAACCTTGAAAGGTGGCGATAGGTCTACTGGGAGTGGGAGGGAAGTTAGGGGCTGCTTTGTGATGGCAATTTGAAATCCAATAATGCTTCAATCCCACTCTTAACTTGCCGTAAATTCAAGATTAAAATGCAAGAAGTAAAAGAAATCAATTAATCACAAGCATTAAAGTTGTGGCTGTCTTCAAATAGATTCGTAAATAAGGGAGCTGTTGGGAGTGGGAGGGGAGGTTGGTGGGTTGGGCAAGGTAAGGGTAAAAAGCGAGCTTGTGCAGGTTTCATTTCCCGCTAGACCCGGATGTCTCTATTAAAAAAAAACAAAAACAAAAACAACAACAACAAAAGAAAAAGTGATTTGAATTTTTTAGGGTCTTTAAAATTTTGAGGGTTTTTATTTACTTTTACTTTTTAGTGTAAAGCAATTGAAAGGACAAACGCACCGTCAATCTTGGATCTTTCCTAGTGGTGGAGATGTTGTGTTTCAATCTTGACGGCAAGGCTTCAAGACTTGACACAAAGAAGCAGATGCAAATAATTAATCAGAAAGACAAACTCACCCCTAAAGAGCCACGAAATTTTTAGCGGAATTTGTAAGGGTGATCACCTATGAGGGTGCGTTTGATTCGGATAATAGAAATAATGAAATATAGATTAACTTGGATGTTACAGTAATAGAAATATAGATTATCTTGGAGATTATTGGAAATATTTAAGAAAATGTGCTTAATTGATTTGAATAAATTGATAGATATGTTATATTAATATGTTTGATTGAGATAAATAAATTTGTGGATATGTTATTTAAATTGCTGAATGCCCTAAATTAGATATTATTATTATATTACTATTTAGTTGCATTTGGTTTAGGGTGATATAAGATTAATCATGTAATCTTTGTTTAATTTTCAAGATTTCCTCGTTTGGTTGTCAAGTAATAAAATATTACGTAATTTTTTATTGCAAATAGTATTTATTGTTGGTAATATTGGAGGTAATCAAATTACCTTTTGAAGGGGTGTTAATATAAGATTACTGATGCAATCTTAATTTTGACCTTATTTTGCCCTTAATCTTTTATCATTTCAGACACATTTGCCCTCATATGTCTACCAAATAACAATTAGCCCAAACTCTCCACATTTAAGAATTTAGCTAAAACACTCTAGCCACAAAAAGTTTAAAAGTTAACAAAATACCCCCAACCACCCAAGACCACCGCCAACCACTAGCCACCACCGCTGGCCCTTGGCAAAAGTCGTCATATTAGCACAAGACCAGCGGAATCTTGTCGGTCCTATGCCGTTAATAACGTTTCTATCCATGGCCGAAAACTACCAGATCTGGTCATTTCACAACCAAAGATATGACCGTGAAAAGGCCAAATTTGTGGCCATTTAACGTTCACAGCCATATTCACGGTGGATCAGAGATCCATGGCCGGATTAGGCCTTACCGGTGCACGACCAGCCTAATCCGGCTAGTCGTGCACCATTACGGTGGCTACCAGCAGTGGCTTGGGGTGGGTGAGGGTGATTTTGCTACAAATTAAAGTTTTATATGGTTGGGGTGTTTTAGCAAAATTTCAAATATAGGGGGTTAAAAGAAATAATTAAAAAAATAATAGAATAAAATATTATTACATTATTATTTAAAAATGAGGGAAATTTAGTAATCTACATAACATACCCACTCATTTATCCTCCCAACCAAACATTATTATAACATACCCACCAATTTATTCTAACCAACCAAACACATTCCTCTAAAAATTCCCTAGTTATCTATCTTTCCAGTAATACATTCCTCAGTAATATAACATTCCTTGAACCAAACGCACCCTTTAGATTATTAAATATAACCCCCTACATTTAAAAACTTAGCCAAAAAAAAACCTCATAATAAAAGTTTGGAAAATCAACGAATGCACCCCCAACAACCCAGCCACTGCCTACTACCGGCAATCCAATGACACACGGGCAGCCAAAAATTGCTCCATGCATCGCTCTAGCCATTTTTGGCCATCAATATGGCCGAAAACAGCCATGCCAGCCACTCCCAATGACTTCCAGCGACTGTCGACAGTGGTTGGCCAACTACTGGCGGTGGTGGTAGTGATGGTCTACAATTTGTTTTAAATATAAGAGCATTATTATCCAAAAACTTAATTAAACAAAGGTAAATTGTAATGGCAGATTAATGTAAATTGTTTTTAAAACAGGACATTATTGTCCAAAAAATTTATTAATAAGGGATAAAATTGTAACAAAAATAAGATTACCAAGTAATCTTAAAATACATAAGAAAATGAAGATAATTAGATTACCTCCTATATTACCAAC